ATTATTAAAAATCTTAGAATCACCAATCGAGATCTCTCATAATACAGAGAAAGCAAAATGTAATGACAATCATTAAATAATTTAATCAACGACTTAAAGCCATGGAACAGAAAATGAGAGTTAGAGAAAGATTAGCTAGTAAAGCGAGAGGAAAGAGAATATGAGAAAGAGAGACTGAACGGGCTTATCGTCTGTGAAAATGACGTCAAAGGTGCTGTCGTTTCCAATAACGAACATCGGAGATATCTACAATGACAGTAAAGAATGAGAAAGATGCTTGAGAGATGAAGAGGACTGAGATAGCAGAACAGTAAAACAAAATGCGTAATATTCATTTTCAACAGTTCTATAACACATGTACAAATTGATGATAACAAAACCTTTCAAATCATAACTACGGCTAAAGGTTTGTGTATGTATGACATATTAATGTAAAAGAGCTAGAGTTTCGAGATAGATGCATTTACTAGATACCGAAATATCACCAGAATGAATAGCATTGAAATAGACAAAAAAAAGTAGCAACGAGTTCAAGAATCTATTGCAGAGACACAAGAGTAGAGAGAGGAAGAATCTAGTGAAGAAGAACTATCAACAATGGTCGTTCGATAATTTGAGCAAAATAGAGAAGTCTGAGTAAGAAATAGAAAGAGCTTAGGCACAACTAGGACAAATCAAGGAAAAGAAAATAGAGTAGAGAAAAAAACGAAGAAAAGTTGGGGAAAGCAGTTTAGGATAAAATTTATTTAGTAGAATAAAATAAAATCACGTCATAGATAATTTGTTTCAACATATTTTTTATTAAAATTTAGTTAAATTATATATATATATATGTCTATAAGTGTATATATATATTTTAAAAAGTATATCGTTTGTATATTACTATTTCTATTATATTTAATGAAGATACTATGACTAAAAATAAATCTAAAATAGAGATAGGTGATCATTTGTAATTGTCACTTAGGGGTGATGCTTCAAAATTAATTGAGAGATAATGAGAGTTTAAGAGACAGATTTGTTTGTCAGAAATAAAATGAGAGAGGGGTGGTATTTATAAGGCTTGGGAGGGAGGGGTTAATTTATATATAGAAAAATAAAAAAAATTAAAATTAACTGTTGATGGAATTAATGGTTATATGATTGTTTCAAAAAAAAAAATTAAATTTTTGACCATTGCACTAACAAGGGGCAGGGAGCCATTGGGGTTGGGTTAGGCCAGATGGGGAAAAAAATTTCGGGTCCAGCTCACGAGATGGGTTACACTCCATGACACACCAGAGTCGAGTCGAGTCGAGCTCCAGAACACATAGCCCAGTGTCTTAGGTTGGGCTTAGGCTCAGGCCTAGTTGGGCTCACCCACGGTGCGATTGGACTTGGGGTGTGCCGCAAGCTCGTGGACCAAATTTACACCCCTATATGTAGGTAGTGGTTATGAGATATGTGATTAGTGGTTATGAGGCAAATGATGTTGGTTGTGACATGTTATTACATAAGTGGATAAAGGTTATGAGATATATGATTAGTGATTATTAGATATGTGATTTTGGTTATGAGTAGAGTGGTGTAGTTATAAGTCAAAGGGTGTTTAGTTATGAGATATGTGATGAGTGGTAATGAGATATGTAATGTTGGTTATGATCAAAGTGATATGGTTATGAGATATGTAGGTAATAGTTATGAGATATTTGATTAATGATTATAAGATATGTTATTTTGGTTATGAGCAAAGTGGTGTCAAAGGGTGTTTGGTTATGCTATATGTGTTAGTGGTTATGAGATATAAGATATTTGTTATGATCAAAATGGTGTGGTTATGAGCAAAAGGGTTATTAGTTATGAGATATGTGATATTAGTTATGACTCAAAAGAGGTTGGTTATGAGATGTGGTTATGATTCATGTAGGTAATAGTTATGAGATATGTGATATTGATTATGAGCAAAAATGTGTTAGTTGTGAGATATGTGACTAGTGATTATGAGATATGTGACGTTGGTTATGAAAAAAAAAATGTTGGTTATGAGATATATGACTAGTGGTTATGAGATATGTGATATTAGTTATGACTCAAAGGGGTTAGTTATGAGATGTGGTTATGTGATATGTGATTATAGTTATAAGATATGTGATTATAGTTATAAAATATGTGATATTAGTTATAAACAAAATGGTGTTGGTTATGAGATGTGGTTATGAAATATGTGATATTAGTTATGAACAAAATGGTGTTGGTTATGAGATGTGATTATGACTAAGTTATGATCAATTTGATTATAGTTATAAAGAAATATGATTTTGTCTCATGACTATAAAAAATGACCTATTTAGCAGGTTACTTTTAATGATGTGGCTTAATCGTAGTTATTGATTTTCTTTGTACCGTACATTTTTTAATAAAATGTTTAATAGACATCCACATTTATAACTTTCACACGTATAACAACTCACTCGATTTTGTTTATACTTACAACAATTCACGCTACTTTTTTTTAGGACTAACTATTCACATTAACAGATTTCAACTTATCAATAATTCAAACTATTTTATTCAGGGAATTGCAAATATATAAAATTAATAATAATTTTTTTTGGATATGATCAGTATCTTAGTAAAATAAGAATCATAATATAATTTTACACAATTTTATAATTAAAATCGTAATTCATTAAAATTTTGTAAAATTTAAGATGTTAATGTAATCTGAATCATTTGACCAATTAAAATTATAAATTATCCATAAAATTTTATGATCTTTATCGAAATTATGATAATCATAATACTGAGTCCACTACCTCTTCGATTTATCCTACCCCTACGCTAGGGACGGAACAAGGCCAGACATTGCAAACCCATCTCGCCATCTCTGAATGTGATTTGTCCTACCCCTTAGGATTATAGAAATCTAAGGTGTTATGATCCTAATCAAAATTCTGATACCTATGATATCGAATCTACTTCCTCTTTGATTTACCTTGTCAACATTCCCCAACTAAAAAGCTATAAAAAAGTGTTAAAAAAATTCAAAAAATTAACTCCATTAATAACGAGTCACTTTGTACACATTAATCATCATTTTTAATTTTTTTTTTTTACGACTATCCGTCTAACTTAAAAAATTATTCTCATATATTAACTTTTTTCACTTCGACTATTTGATAGTGTTATCACTTTATATAATTTATCACCTGACACTTGTTAAGTTATTTCCTAAAATACTTAAAAAATGATTGATCCACTGAATTGTCCGAATTACGTAAGTCGGACAACCTCTCAGACGAATGTTTGGATGACCGTCGTCACCCTTGTCAATCGCAACTGTCATCCTTATCAACCGACATGTCAATCGACAACTGCTCGGATGATCGGTATATTACTAGATGACTGGCCAGTCGACCTTCCGAATACTGGTGTGTCAATTGACATGCATAAATTCAGACAATTTGGATGTGCTCAAATTCGATAGATGTAACATTACTTAAGATACTAACAAACGATATTAAAATTTACAATTTTAATCAATGAAAATCACAAGATACCGTTCAGATTTGTCCGAAGACTGCTTTATAAATTTTTCATAAAAAAGCCTAAAAATAAGTGGGATAGTCTTCCGTCCATACGTTCATCTCTCCATACCCTCTTGGAGGCCTCAATTCAGATCTACATTGATAATTCAAACCATCTATTTTATAAGTTTTGTAATAAAGATCATTCATGCAAAAAATGAGTTTTATCGGAAAATTATAAACACAGGAACGAAAAACATATTTTATAAAATAGATGGTTTAAGTTTATAATCATATTTGTTATTTATTTTATCAAATAAAATGTAATTTTTTTTTTAAATTTATAATTTTTCAGTGAAATTTATTTTTTGCATGAATAACTTTTATTATACAATTTACGAAATAGATGATTAGAATTATGTTAGGGACCCCAAATATTTTATCAAACCTCTTATATGAGTGTGAGACTTATATACATGTAAATTTATGTGAGTCCCAACCCATATGGAAGATTTGATGATATATTTAGGATTCAGGAAAATGTTTGAGGGCCACAATTTTTGTGGCTCAAATGACTCAAAATTGTCAAAACGACGTCGTTTTGACAATTTTGAAGTTGTTTTGTACTTAAAACGACGTCGTTTTAACAATTTTGAGCCATTTGAACCACAAAAATTGTGACCTTCAATCATTGTTGTTAGGATTCATAACCTTTTCCTTTAAATTATAATACAGATTCAAAATAAATTAAAATCTATAACATAAATGTAAAGAAATAAGCGGAGACAAGGCGTATCCCAAAATATAAAGGGAGCGAATCCAAAAGAAGTTGCCTCTTTTCACCTCATAATTGAGCACGGATAAGGCGTTACACCTGTCAGTGGGAACGCATTAAGCCAGTGATGAGTGTTTTTACAAGCAAAAATGCTTTAGACCACTAATTAGTGGTGACTCTAATAATGTGGCACCCACTGTCACATGTGTTTTGTGCCTTGTTTTTTTTTTTTTTCAATTGCCACCTCACTAGTGGTGGAATTAGTGATGGCAAATTAGTGGTATATAGCATTGCTCTTTTACAAGTCGATAAAAAGTTAATTTTTGTAGTGTTTTTTATAAAATTTTTTAGTAGATTTTTTTTGGCAAAAAATTAGTTTTTTTTGGTTAAAAAGTTGGCCTTTTTTTGTAAAAAAATTAAAAAAAAATAACTCTTTTAGTTTATTGTCAAAAGACCCCGAATGTCAAAACCAAGGTAAATACAAAAAAGTTATAATATTACGCGTATTAATTAATATATATATTAATATATCAATTAGTGTTATAATATTATTTTTTTATTCAAGTGTTATAATATTATTATTGATCATATTTATTATAATAATGTCATATCATCTGTTATATTAGTGCGTAAATTAATTGATTTATATAATATTATTAAAAAAAAAAACAATCCCCCCAAAAAAAAAAGGCTCGAAAAAGTATTTCAAATATAATTACAAGAAAACATTTCGTAGCTGCTGTACTAGGTCTCCACCTCATGCATTGCAATGGCTTCAATGGAGAAGATCTCTGCCGACCTCAAGCTCGCCGATTCGAAGAAAGATGGTCTTCGCAAAGCCTTCGATCACTCTCTTCTCTTGCTTACTCTTCAGTGGAATGACCTTCAAGAATACTTCGATTCTACCCTCAACTCTATCCAACAACAGTTTCAACAACTCCAATCCCGCGAGAATCAACTCGAAGAGCTCGAATCGAGAGAGAAACAGTTGGGTTTGTCCCGATTGACTCTTGACGAACAATCGAGGAAGCTCGATTCTGTCCAGAAAATGATCGATGAGAGTTTCACGGAACTTCAATCGAAAGGGAAGGAATTGGATTCCGTGAAACAATCGATTGAATGGCGTGCCAGAGAGTTCGAAGCGAAAGAGAAGCAATTCAAAAAACGATGCAAAGAAATCGAATCGAAAGAGAAGAAATTTCAATCGATTCAGAAATCGTTCGAGGAACGGGGTAAGGAGCTCGAATTGAGAGAGAAGAAGTACGAAGAACGCTTGAAAGAGCTCGAATTGAGAGAGAAGAAGTACGAAGAACGCTTGAAACAGCTCGAATTGAGAGAAGCACACTGCGGTAAAGTTGCTCATTCGAAAGTGAAGGTCGAGCTGCAAGAACAATTGTCAGTGGAAAATCATTCATTGGCTGCGAGTCTTCAATTTTCGGTCACCATGGATGGAAAACACTTGCAGATGTTCTTGAATGAACATGTGGATGATCATTCGTCAATGAGTGATGATGTTTATAGAGCTCTTCAATTATCATCGGACCCTGCAAAGCTTGTGTTGGATGCAATGCAAGGGTTTTACCCTCCCTATTTGAAGAAAGGGGATAAGGAATTTGACGCTAGTGTTATTAGGAGGAGTTGCACTCTCTTGTTGGCTCAGTTGATGAGAGCGTCACCACAGATTAGACCTTGTGTGAAAGAAGAAGCTGCGAAAGTTGCGGTTAATTGGAAAGCAAAACTGAAAGTGGAGTGTGAAAATTCTTTGGAGGTCTTGGGTTTTGTGCAGCTTATAGGGACTTACAGATTGTTACCTGATTTTGATTCAGATGAGGTTTTCAAACTTTTCGAGACGGTTGCCCAGCACCGAGAGGCCCCTAAATTATGCCGGGTTCTTGGCTTTGCAGATAAAGTCCCTGGTAAGCTTTCTGAAGATTGAGCCTTTTAATGCTATTTTTCTCTAGACCTATCTCTGTGTCTGTGCCTGATATCTTATTTTTGAATACTCGATTAAATATGAATGTAGTGCACTCTTTCTCTATCTATATGTTTATTGTATATCTGATGGTTTGTATTTGGGTAGTGAGTTCTATGTTTCATCATATAGAAATTAGGATAAATTACACTTTGTAAGAGATGTCAGATTCAAAATTTGATTATATGGTGAGACTCGCCTTGGTGGGAAGTACACTTTTGGAAAAAGGAAGGTGGGCAAAATCCTAATAGAAGTGGGTCAAAAGTAAACTGCAAAGAGTTTATGGACCAACCTCATATGAGATCCACCACAAGAATTGCAAGACCTTCGGCGAGCTAGTTGAGGCAAGATGAGTCCCCAGAACTATTGAAGATGAGCCCAAAAGACTGAGAGGCAGGCCAAGTCTCTTAGCAAAACGAGTTCACAAAGATACCCCCAAAAGACGAGGTGAACCAGCTGAGGTTAAATCAACTGAGGTGAGTAAAGTCTTTGAGGTAAACGAAATCCCTGAAGTGTCCCCTGAGGGTGAGGTCCCCTTAGAGTTGATTGCAGGCTTAGGGTTATCAGAAATACTGTGGAAGTAGCATGACCCCTGCAAAGATAGGGGTGAGATCCGAAAGCAAAGGATCTCCTCCTCCCCATAGATAAAATTTCCTGGGCAAATCTCTTGGTAGGGTCTAGGAAGTCCCCGAGGCTTGGTTTGTGATATAGTCTAGCTAATACAAGGCTATGCTATGAACCATTATTGGGATCCTGAGGTCTTGTGGCTTGGTGACAAAGTATAGGGGATTGCTGAAGTGGTTGCAAGTTTAGTTGATAGGAGGCTATGTTTCTTGAAGGTCATATCAAGGGACTTATGAGGTCTTGAAATGGAAAGACCAAGGGAAGCACACACCCCGAGGCCTGGCAGTTAGGGAAAGGAATATTCGTACATGATCCCTAAGACATGTGGCATCACCTTATTGGCGACTTGGCCACCTGTGAGCCAAGGAAACACTTATAAATAGGATATATTTCCCACAACTTGATATGATAAGAGAGAGTGATTCTTAGGAAAAGGAGGCTCTTTGGATGTATTACCTTTTCTGATTCACTTGCACTACTCTCACCTAGTAACTAATCCTTTGCTCTTTCTAGTTTACTATTCACATTACTTGCCTCTCTGGTGATACAAACCTAAGAAGCACGGACACCTCTCCGGAATCAACGTATGGGTGTCCGACATGTGTCGGACATGCGGTGGACACGTGTCGGACACTCTACCTAGCGTGTTCCCTCTTTTTTTTTTTTTTTTGAATTTCTCCAGTCGGACACACTTGGGACACTCTTGGACATGTTATGGACACGATGCCTCAAATAGTGTAGCATCAAATAACTAACCTTGTGTTGGGGGAAAACATTTTAATGACCTAAATGGCAGTGCATGAACTTGTATGTTTTTTCCATCTCATTAAACCATAACCAATTATATAACTGTTTGTACCCAAAATGGCACCACCAATGAGAGTAGGCCACGTGGCATTGTTGGCCAACAAAAATGGTGGATGGAGGACCCATTCATTGAAGTTGGATGCTAGAAATTTTTATTCAATGAAGTAAATCCAGCTAACCCTATCCAGGCCCAGAAATAGGGGAGATAGTTATAACCCTAGGTTGAGAGTCATCACTGACTCCCTTTCCTCTGTAGAATTTTCTGTCTAATTTTTGTTGAAGATAGGGCCACCACACCATAATCTGTAGATTGTTTTGGGTTCATCAACTCGGTGAGAACTGACTTCCTTATGGCAGCCGTAGCACTGACTTCCTTATGGCGGCCGTAGCAAGTATAAAAAGGCTACATGGGTCTTCCTTGTGTGTAAGAATAAAGACCAAATTTAAGTGTGTGAGGTAAATATAAGTGTGAGTGAGTATTGTTTTGAGTGGTGTAAAAGAAGCATGGAGTGCTTGAGTGGCGCAGGAAGGGTGTCACATCAGTGTCATGTGTGATAGTGAAGGCACAGTGTATGAGTGAATTGTCAAGCGATGGTGTCAGGTGTGTACTCAACCTGGAGTCTAAGTATTTAGTGTAATGTGAGTGCTAGTAAAGTGGGTCTGCTTGTGCGTGATGCGAGTGCTCAAGTGAGTAGTGTGAGATAAATAGTGTGTCAGGTGGTTTATGCTTTTGTCTTAGTAGTAAAGTGATCTTATGTACAAGTGTGCACAAGTGTTGTTGGAGATAATATTATATTGTCAAAAGATATTAGAAGATATTAGAATATATGGAGATCCCATGATTTGTTCTTATTATGATTTTTTGTATCTTTAATTTATTTCAATTCCTTAACTGAAGGGATTTGATTATATCTCCCACTCTATATATGTGGTGTATTATGTAAACAAGAGTATTCAGTTGAGTAAATGAAAAATATAACCTATAGGACTTTGTGTGTGTGGATGTAGGCAAATATTGGCTGAATCACGTTAAACCTTTGTGTTCTTTCTTTTCTCTTTTCTGTCTCTATTATCTCTCCATATTCAACCTTAATGCCTTATTGCAAATTCAATTTGGTATTAGAGCCTACCAAACCCTAGGCTTGTTTCTCTCTAGATTGCTTTCTTACTTCACATTTTTTTGTTATCAAGGTGTTTTTCGCTCTTCTTTGAGTTGACCACTAGTTTGCTAATGTTGTAAGCAAACTTTGTGATTTTTATTTGTTTCGGGGCTACCGGTGTATTCAGTAGCATTGTTCTATGATACGCCGAGTTTTCCGGCTACTTCTCTACCCTTTTAGGGTCCCTGTATTGATATTGTAAGTACATATTTTGTTCTTTTTTTTTTTTTGCCCTGGTAGCATTCTTTGTGGGACACCGTTTTTTCGGCCTTTTTGTTTGTGGTGATTTGCCATTACTTCAGCCTTATTGCTTTCTCTCTCTTTCTGTTGGTTTCTCTTGCTGTCATCGTGACTGATTTCATGCATGTTTCTTTGTTGCAAGATGCTGATTCCTTACTTATGTTCTTTGAAGTTGTCATTGAAGGGAGTGATTACAATTGTTGTTATCTTCCTACAACTTCATTGTAATTGTTTGTAATGATCATCATATTTTCGAGTTCAAGTTGGACACTTGACTTTACCCGTTCCCTGTTCCAACTTGAGGGAGAGTGTTGGAGATAATGTTATGTTGTCAAAGATATTAGAAGATATAGAAGATATCAGAATATAAGGAGATCCCATGATTTGTTCTTATTATGATTTTTTGTATCTAATTTATTTTAATTTCTCAACTGAAGGGATTTGATTGTATCTCCTACTTTATATATATGGTGTATCATGTAAATAAGAGTGTTAAGTTGAGTGAATGAAAGATGTAGTCCATAGGGCTTTTCCTGTGTGGATGTAGGACATTATTGACTAAACCACGTTAAACCTTTGTGTTCTTTCTTTTCTCTCTTCTGTCTCTATTACCTCTCCATATTCAACCTTAATGCCTTATTACAAAATTCAACTAGTGTCTTGTGTATTGGTGGGTTTATTCAAAGCTTTTAAAGGCGAAAGCGCAAGGCAAAGCATTTTAGTTTGGATAAGGCGAGGCGTGCGTAAGCCTTTTAAGTTTTGAATTTTTTGTTTTTTATAAAATATTAAATTAATTAAATATAACATATATATATATATATATATATATTTAAAAGGACCATTATAGGCTTAAAAAAAATGAATTAATAAATTCTGTATAGAAAAAAGAAAAAAAAAAAAAAGAAAAAGAAAAAAATAAGCCAACAATACAATAACCTGTAAAGAAAAAATCTTAAAAAACGTGATACCATTAAAACTTTAAAGCACACACAGACCAAGATCAATGTATAAATTAATAAAGGAGGTCATTAACTTCAACTAAAAATAATAATAAATGCCCATTAGTTTTTTAATAAATGAAGGCCTTCTCTTCTGGCCAAACAAAGAGAGTTAGAGAGAGTTCCAACAAAAAAAGTCCCAAAGAAAAAGATTGAGGGAGAGTCCCAACAAAAAGAGAGTCCCAAAGAAAGAGAGAGACAACAATAAAGAGGGTTAGAAAGAGAGAAAAAAAAAAGAGACAGAAAATGTGTGTGTGTGTGTGAGAGAGAGAGAGAGAGAGAAAACTAACATGAAGGTTGAACATCTTTCAATGGAAGTCGATATCGGAGCCTATGTTGCTCACAGTTGTCTCAATTTCAGTTGAAGGCAAAGTCGAAGGCGAAGGGAAGAAGATTGATCGTCTATGTTGAAGTCGTTTGGACAAGAGAAGTTCGATCGTCTCTGTCTCTACCACTTTGGTACTATTTTTTCCCCCCTATTTCCAAATCACAAAATGCATATATGCATGAAAAGTGCATGATGGGCATCAGAGGCGAACACCTTAGCCAGTAAGGCTTACGCTTAGCAAGTGTTTTGCACAAAAAATCACACCTTGGTGCATTTTTGGTACGATTCGCCTCGATGCGCGCCTCAAGAACACCTTTGAAAACACTGGATTTATTAATAAAAATGTATATTTGTTGTGTCAAGCTCAACACCCCATCCCTTATTTTCTCCTTAACTTTCAAGTTAAGTAGGGATGGATTTTAGCTTGAATACAAGACACTTGGCAAGATCTAAGGCACCCCTTGTGATTTTATTTATTTATTTCAGATTGTACCACTTTCTATATTAATGGGGATAGCTCTTAAAAGCTTGGGGAGAGACACATTGTGAGGTATTAAGGGCAGTTGTCTCAGGTTGTGTGTGATTGTTCATAGAGGAAATCCACGAGAGAACGTGGGAAATGGGGCTAATAGTGGCAAGGAAAGCGTGGGACACATGGCCTCATCTTGTTCAGAAGATAGGCACATTTAGGATTGGAAACTGTCAGCACATTCAAAGGCTTTTCATGAAAATGGGCAGAATTTTAAGTGAGTGGGTGGTTGTTCATAGAGGCATACATATCACCAAAAAATGCAGGCCATCAGTCTGGAAGTGGTGTGCCAACATGGAACACATGTCGCTTTACAAAGTACAGTGCATAAATTTGTCCAGATTTGAAACTGTTGCCCCAGCCGCTATATAAGTGTGAATTGAAGGTGTAATAAAGGGTCCAACACTACAATCAACAAAACTAGTCTTCTCATTTTTAGTTTAGCTTTGACCCAGCGCCTTTATCCTTCATGTTGTTTCACTAGCTTAGAAATCTTTATATTACTAACACTTCTAGTACATTTGAGACCTGTAATTGTTTCTATTTCTTCAATAGTAATGTTTACTGTGGTTGTTTCATTTATTGTTTGATGCTCGATGAGCTAATGGGCAGTCGTGGTTTCTCATTGGCTCATCGTGATTTCTTCTGTTAATAAGTTGTCCTTTGAGATGGATGGAGGTCAATATACTCAAATGGGAAGGGGGTTGGGTTGTTTTTTATGAGTGTGTGGTGGTGGTTGTTGGAAGGAGTTTTTACATCATTGTATGGTTAGGGTAGGGAGCTTGAGGGTTTTGGCACAATGGGTTAGAGAGTCTGGTGGTTGGAAGTGTTCTGCATTGGAAAAGTTATTTATGAAGAAGTAGGAGAATAAGATTTTGGCAGGGCTCAATGTGGGAATAGATTTTGCGATCTTCTAGATGAAGAGCATACTAGGATAGTTTTGGTGTTCGGAGGGTTGTCGGCATCAAAAATAGATGATGGAAGGATGGAGGTGCATGAGCCTCTCACGAAGAGATTGTGGATTGGGTAATAAGGGGTTTCCCTGGATTAGGAAAGGTGGAAAACTGAACTTCAAAGGGTTTGAAATTGTAGAAAGGTATTGACACCTGTGATCAGGAGTTTGCTAGAGAGTGGCAAAACACTCAATGGAGAAGCAATGGAGAGCCTTGTGATTAGAAACCTTTAAAAGAGAATGAGTATTCCAAGTTTGATCAAGTCTAATTTAGGAGTACTTTTAACAAACTTTTCAGATATACTGAAATTCCAGAGTAACCATTCTATTAGGATTCACCTCAATCCTCGAGACTCCGTACATGAGCTAGTGATGCGGTCTCTTTCTTGGTGGACTGGCCAAAGGTAGCTCATTGTGCCACGGCAGAACTTTCATCTCTAGCTACCAAGCCACAACCCCAATGTCCCATGGTGCATGCCGAAGACTTCAACGTACTTAGACCCTGCCTCTTGGCCGAGGTAATGAGTGGTGCATTACAACACCCGCAGTAATGAGACATGCAGTTTGACCACCATGGGACCACTAGGAGATATGTGGTTTGACAACTGTAATAAAGGGTCGCATGGTAAGAACACCATGGTGATCAGAAATGCGGTAAGAACACTGCAATCATGAGATGGCTTGTAACTCTGGACTCTTGTCGGATGTCAAATAAGCAAGCTTCATAATGATGGAGTTTAGGACTGAGGCATCCAACGTGCCAGCGTGACTGAACATGCAGACCATACATGTGTCTTTATAAGGTAACACATGTACCTCCATATACCGACATGTAAGACACATGTCATTCCATATATTTACACGTGTCTTTGTGAGGGAGTTGGAATTGGGCTCTCCTAGAAGACCTTATTCAGGAATCAAACAGGGCAGCCTGGAGGTCCCTTTTATATCCTGATCTCAATGGGAAAAATAAGGGGTCCAAGGGATGAAGGGATGGAAACTATGGTCATTCTTCCCAGAACCCACAGTGACTGGATCCTTGTGCTCTGGGCTGCCCTTTTTTTGGCCAACGTGTACGCTTGATCTTTGTTGAGCTTCCTGAAAGGGTTTTTTTTTTTCTTTTTTTTTGGTCCCTCGCTGTTGTAACCAGGTGGTAGTCCCTTGACACATTTTACTTGTAATTCTTTCTTATTTGTCATAGAATGTAGTTACTGATGTCACAATTCCATTTCCACCTCAATGTTGCCTTACATTATATGGTGTTTGTTGACTTGAAATTTCTACCTGATTCTAAATGTTCTATTTATTTTCTTAAAATCTGTAATCTTGGCTTGTTATAGGTTAAACATTATTATGCTTCATGGTGTTGGACTTGTTTGCTCTCATGATAGGTTGATTATTTTATATGGGAGGAGGCCAACCGTTAAAAAACAAAACTAATTATGTGATGATTTAATAATTTGTGATTGTAAGGGACTTTATTGACTAGAAAAAACTTCTAATATCTTTTTACTAATTTTTCTTATTAAATTCTTGTAAAATTATTTATGTTTATCATAATAACAAATATAAACAAAAAATTTTAAGAACATTTTGAATAAATTGAGAATTGTTGGTGATACATCCTTGGCTATAAACACGGTTCTTTTATCCATGGAGAAAGATGTGGCACTATTGACCAATTAGGTTTGCATGGATGAGTTTGTCATCTTACCGTGGTGAAAGGCAGAGTGACTACATCAGAATAAATGGTTCTTGTTACTCACTTGGAGTCCTTTGCTTCTCTTCGTCCACAATACATCTTTATTATTACAAACACTTCAATATTAAGAAGCACAAATACAGACACGGGAGACAAATATGACACAATATGGCTATGATGACATGACAACAAATATATATATGTACATGAAAACATTAACTATTTCTTCCTTGTTTACATTATGAATATATCTTATTATATCAAAATGATAAGAATTATTTTCTACATTCCACATATTAGAAAAAAAAGTGTGAATAAAAAGTTGTAATATCTATTTTAGAAAGCTATATTCATAAACAAATTCTAAGTTTTCAGATTTAGAATTCCTAAAATTGAAAAAACTAAAGGAAGAGGGATTAGTATATAAACCCACATTATTGTTATTTTATCATTCGATCCTAAGTTATTTTCTTTAAACTTGCAATGTGTTTCATATGTATCTAAACATTGGACAAAATATTCAGATCAAATCAGGAGTGTTTAATGAGTTTTGTTGTTCGACAAATTCGACACAGACACAACTCCTTAGTAGTTTTTGTGTAGCTTAGCTTCACGAACTTAAGTGCAAACCCCACAATCATTTGAGGTTCTCTCATCTCTGGCTAAGGTTAAAATGGTGAGTTGAAGGTAGGTTTTGTGATGGTGAAGAAGCTAGAAGGATAAACTCATCATAAGGTTGAGGGGACTGCATCACCTTTGAAGTATAATAGAGGAATATATTTCAATGGGTTAGAAGGTGGAAGAGTGATTTAGGGCATAGTTGAATACATGGCGTGCTATTGGCAGCAGCGATATCTCTTACCCTAAAAGGAGGCAGGGATGGGGTCCTTGGGAATGGTAGGGCGATTTTGAGCAAGTTTCGTCATGCCTCCTTCCCTCAAGGCTCTTCTTCCATTTCTTTTTGGAAGCATAGAATGAGCAGTAGTTTGGACGTGTCTGTCGGTAATGTTGTGGGATCTTTGGTTAATCAAGACAAGAAAGGAAAAAGATGAAGGGAAGGTTGGCTACTTGGTGGGGAAGGATGGAAAGGAGGGAGTGACGTTTTTTCTTGAGAATTAATGGAGAAAGAGGGCATCGTCAAGGATCAAAATTTTGTTGCGGTATGTTGTTTTGGTGAGCACTGAAACAAAAACATTTCAAAAGAAGTAAAAACAATTTGGAAGTGCTTGATAATGGGGTTTCAATTCAAACCTCTGAGACTGAAAGCCTCAATGTCTTATAATGCCATCTCCTTCATGCACTTCATTAAAAAGAATACTTTTGGCTTAGTTTGGATTCACTAAACTTTTATGTAATTATGTTCTTATTTGTCCGTGCCATTTCTTGTTTAACATTAGATATTTTTCTCTACTCTCGACTAGATCATTGTCTTTTTCACAGATTTGGTTCAAGGCCTTATCAAAAAGAGGCAGAATCTTGCAGCTGTTAGATTTATACATGCCTTTGAGTTGGTTGACAAATTCCCACCTGTTCCGATCTTGGAAGACTACTTCAAGTACTGGAAAAAGATTGCTGACGAAACTTGCAAGAAAGAGAACTTGACTAGAGGAGAGGTATCTTTGTCACTTGTTTTGCCATTTTAGTGCATCTTTAATTTGTAGTGTAAGATCCAATCTTTAGCTTGGTTATGGTTTACTTTAACTTGCTTACAGACCATTATTGCAAAGCAAAGTATAGCTGCTTTGAGGGCTGTGATCAAATGCGTCGAAGATCACAAGCTTGAAATTGATTATTCGCTGAAGAACCTTGAAAAATGCATAAATGTGCTGACTGAAAAGGCAAACACTAGATATACTTCACCAGCAAACCCCGAGTCTCAATCACAGCAGCAGAGCAGTGAGAAGAATTGTGGGTCTCCGGCTGTGTCTGCCCCAAAGGATCAGGAGCAACAGAGAGGCAATAAACGTCCTTGTTTAGCTGTATCAGAAGACACTCCTGTGTCTGCCCCAAAGGATCAGGAGCAACAGAGGGGCAATAAACGTCCTTGTTTAGCTGTATCAGAAGACACTCCAAATGCTTCTATTACTGCTGATTCAACTGTTCACTCGATACATTCACCTCATCGATATCAATTAGGCCAGTATGCCGATCGAGGTACATCATACTTGGTCCCGTCACGGGGACGCTATGATTTGGGAGGTTTCCATAGTGTTGACCGGCATATGGGCTTATACCCTGATAGATCAATCCATTTCTTTGCCCGGGATGCCCCAAGAGAACCCTGTTATTATGATGAGCCAGTATCATTTCATTGGCCCGCAGACACATTCAGGGGTACTAGTTTCTATGACAGAACACAGACTTTTGGTAGCCATAGCCCGAGGGATGTGCCGAGGGAACATTGTTTCTATGATGGTCCAGTTCGTTTTGATCAGTATGATCCATTCCGTTCAACCTTCTTCCCTTGAAAGTTATCCCTTCAGTAAGTTTACTTCCGGTATGACAGACAATTTTCATAGTTCGTTAGCCAACTGCATATACCTAGTTTGCATATTTTATGGTATAGAATTTAGCTTTGTCCATAAAACACTAGTTTTTTTGGCGCTCGTGGTTTTTGTGTGTGTGTGAAGCTTCCTAGTCCTGGTTTGTGTTCTGATGGGTGACAAACTAACTGTATTATATATATATATATATATTATTTATGATTGGGTGTTTGGTCAATTTACGCACACCTCAACTAATTTTGGATTCTGTCTGTGGGCGTGGTCTCAAGAAATTGATAACACTCAGTGAGAATTGAATCTGAGAGCTGGAAGGAGCACCCTCGTAGGTTCCAAATTGCTCTCGCTAGACCAATCCCAGTTAAACTAACTATAGGAGTGTTTGTTTAGAAGGATTGGAGGGAGGTTAGACTTCATGTCCAATCTACTAGAGTATATTGTTTGGTTGAGAATTTGTAGGCCGGATTAGGAGTCCTATCGGATTATGAATCTCATATATTTTGGAGACTATTGTGTCTTGAAGGGGGCGTGGGATAGAAATGGAGGGATTTGAATCTCATGAGATTACGTTGTAAAATGATACATAGTATTTGATTTCATTATATATTGTATTTAGTAAAATAAAATAAAATATAAAAATCTCAACTAAAAAATAAAATAAAATAATTTTTTTAAAATTTTTATTGATGTTTATTTACTTAATTTTTTAAATAAATTATTATTGATTTTTTTTTTATTGATGTTTTATTTGAAGTTTTTGTTGATATTTTCTTTTCTTTTCATTATTTAATTTTTATTGATTTTTTTTATTTAATTTCATTACTTGATATTTAATATTTTTGAAAATAAATTATTTAATTTTTATTTTAAAAATAACATAATTTTTTTAGGGAGATTTACCAATAAATCTCAAAATTTAAACTTATGAACCAATTAGTCCCATTTTTATTCTATTAAACCGTTTAGTCCCATCTTTCTCCTATCGCACACAGATACACACATACATTGTGAGGGGCAGACAGACACACACACAGAAAGTAATGGAAAATAAAAGAAAATGAAAGCACACAAGAGAGTTATGGAAATAAAACATAGGGTAGGACTAGAACCCTTTGTACAAGTCCAAATCTAATCTAAATTACCAAAGAAAATCAGAATATGGAATGCTTGGGAGATGAGACAGATTTAGTAAAATAATCTATTAAGTATTTATTTTTTTTCATAATATTTTAATCAAACATTAGATTTAATAGAGTAACTATTTCTAAACATCTAATTTCATGATAAAATAAATATAAGGTACACATCATTTTTAATTAAATAGTTCAAGATTATATATCACAAAATTAATAGTTTAGAATATAATATTTCCTTATCCAGTCTAAATAAATATCATCTTAATATGACAGTTAGTGCTAGCTTTGAATCCTCAAACTCGGGAAATTCACCACCTTAATGGGCTGGGCTGCAAGCCTCATGAAATTATGGACTTGTTCATTTGTAATGGCGTTGAATCCATTGATGTGCCCTAATGGGCTGGGCTAGACTGGGTTGGGCTACTAATCCTCCTTAAATTCTGGACTTGCTCATTCCTAATGGGGATTGAATCCATTGCTGAGCCTATTAGTTCTGATAATTCTTCCCAAGTTTAATTCAGATTATCACATCTAAGTCGGAAACTAATTTCGACACCCTTAATGAGAATTTCAAATTTTTGGAGGAATGTTTAACTATTTGACTGAAAAAATCATGGTAAATGATGGTCTCACAATATTTATCCATAAAATATTACGGGGTTGTTTGGGAATTGCTAGATTAATATATTTTGACTTCTTATAAAAAAAATGTAAAATGTGGATTGTGGTTGAAGTTATGTGGTAAAGAGATGGTATGACCTAAATAAGAAGTGATGTAACCCAAACAAAATAATTTGTTAAAATAACACATTATTTTAGCACATGCCAAACAAAGCCTAATTTAATAATTCAAATGCTTGGATCATATTGAAACAGGAATCCCATTGTTAACATTTTGATTTCTGCTAATAAGATTCTCGTTCATTCTTACTATCCAAACATAGTATTCGATCAAAATTATTATAAAAATACATTAGACTCAAATTTTAAGTCGTTAAATGCTAAATCTAGTCCACAGGTATATATGTTGTTTTCTCTTCCCCTTTCTTGTGACATATGGCTAATAGATGGCTTGGATGAATGTGTTTTTTTTTTTTTTTTTTTTTTAAATTCTGTTTGTTTTGATATAAAATATTTTTGTTACAAATAGGTTATTCATTTTTCATTGTTTTGTTGAACCGAAAGTAGCTAAAATATTTTTTAAGGAAAATATTATTACATTATTTTTCAAAAAATAGCTTACTTTTAAAATTTCCCTAAATTCACTATTTTTTTCAATATATTTAAAATTTTCAAATAAATATCTTAACTCACTAAAAATTTATAAATAATACTTTATTGAATCAAAATTTCTCTTTTTACGTAATAAAATATTTTTATTTCAAGTGTCAACTAAATACCAAAATATAAAAATAAAAATAAAAATATTTCTCTGCATGAAATTAATTTATAAAAAAATTATTTTTTTTTTATGTAAAAAACAGAGCCTTAAATATGTTTTTTATACCTTATCTTTGTTAAAGCAAGCACACCATAGTTTGGGAAGTTAGTTTTGGTGGGTTAGGGGTTAAAATAGCCACAAAAAACAAAATAGGCTATTTTAGTCACAAAAAACAAAACATCAAATTCAACTCATAATCATTACACTCCTCTCTCACAAAAAAGTCAAAAAAGTCAAAAGGCCAAAAAGTTCTTTTCAAACCAGACTTTTTAACCCCATGTTAAAATAGTCAAAAAATCAACTCATTTCCCAAACGGAAGCTAAAAAAAGTTTTGGGAACTGAGTTAACCCAGTGGTGGTTCGCCTTTGTTTACAATTCAATCCATCTGCCTTGAAGCTTTGGTGCACCTGAATCGTCCACAGAACAATGTTTCAATATTTTTCAAGATTTTTGAGGGACAAAGAATGACCAGTGTTGTTATAATTGTGTGCCAATTTCATCGAATCAAGGTCCTCTACTTGAGTTCTCTCATTCACTTCTTACTTCTAAGGTTATTGGGCTTATTTTTGGGCCCAATTTCAGTGATCTCAACTGTTCATATTTTAAGATTTATTGAGTATATCATACCTGTAAAAAATCAAGTTGATCGGATATCAGAAAGCATATGTTCGAAAATTTGTTTATTAAATTTTTTTTTAAAAAAAATAATTTTTAGTTTGATGATCTGAACATGTAATTTTTGATATCCAATTAATTTGATTTTTTACAGATATGATATACTCAATAAATCTTAAAATGTAAATGGTTCAGATTATAAAAATTAGATATAAAAGTAAACCCAATAGCTTTGCAAGTAGGAAGTGAATGAGAGATCTTAATGAGGGGATCTTGATTCAATTTCATCGAGCCACCATTGATGAGTTGTGGATCAGTAATTATTTGTTGGATGGATTGGTCTGTCTTCTGTACTCTGGGTTGGATCAGCAATTATTTGTTGGATGGATCTGTCTTCTGTACTCTGGGTTGGATCAGCAATTATTTGTTGGATGGATCATGGTCTGTCTTCTGTACTCTGGGTTGGATCAACAATTATTTGTTGGATGGATCATGGTCTGTCTTCTGTACTCTGGGTTGTTCTCTATTCTGTTCTCTAATGCAATGATTTTAAGTGGAAAGCTTTTTCAGAAATTATTTAGCCTCCGTTTGGGAAGTGAGTTGACTTTTTGATTTTTTTGACTATTTTACCCTTGACTAAAAAGTTTAGTTTGGGAATGACTTTTTGGTTTTTTTTACTTTTTTTTGTTAGAAAAGAGTGTAATGATTATGGATTGGATGTAATGTTTTGTTTGTTGTAACTAAAATAACCTATTTTGTCTTTTGTGGCTAAAATAGTCAAAAAAAGCTCTTGCCAAACGGAGCTTATTATATTTGTCCAGTTATCTTAAAAAAGGAGTATTATTATTAGCACTTAATCAATTATTTTAGACTTTTTATTTTTAATTTTTTTTATTACAATAATAATCTCAAATGAAATTATTAAAAAGGATATCAATAGATTTGGGATACTCCATCTCACAATTAAGTCCACACACCAATTACATCATAAATTAGAATTTATAAGAACACCCACTTCCATCACTACCCATCCATCTTCTTCAAATCTCACCTTCAAAATCTACCCACACACCCTCCCTTAAAACCTTGAAAACTCTTCGGCCATAATATTTTGGTAGTAACGGTGGCAACTATTTGACTATCTACACTTTTTCGGCAATGACAATGATTGGAAGTTTTTTCGACAATTACATCATTATGAGATGAGAGGAGTACAACAATAAAAGTTCAAAGGAGGTTCATAACTTTGACGGTGTTTTTAGCTTAGGAGAAATTGACATTGTAAGGGTAAGTTTATTGAAAAAAATTAAAAAAATAAGAAAAACTGTTTGTCATTTTTTCGGGATTGAACTCCCGAATATATGACCGAAATTCGAGAATACAGGCTTGAACATTATTTTTTTGTTTGGAATCAAGTAACCAAACATTTTTTATTTATTCAAAAACAGATAACAAAACATTATTAATGAACTTTTTTCAAACTTTAAAATTATAAAACCTAGGTAAGATAAGGAATAAGTATTGAAATAGTCAAAGAATTCAAAGAAACTCACCTGGGAGATTACAAATTCAAACTCGTGTAGATCACATAACCCAGAAAAGGAGAATTTTGAATCAACAACAAAAAAATCTTACATTTATTTTTTGAGGTCATGAACAAATATGTAGAGATGAAATAGTAATCACCTTCATGGGTTTTGTTAGAATTTTTAGAAGAGAGGCTTTTTGGGATGTGAGGGTGTGTATTCAATTGAATGAGTGAAATGTTTTCATAAGAATAATTTTGATATTATCTTAGGAGACATTTTTTTTTTAAAGTGTTTTAAAATTTATAAATAAAGATCTAAAAAAATAAAACATCTAAAATAATTAATAAGATACTAATAATAGCACCATAAAAAATAGCATAAGTTTGACCAGTTCTACACTTTAAATTGATAAAAATCAAGTAAAACATCACATATATTTGTTTCGAAACTATCCTTTATTTTTTCAACTTTACAGTGTCCACTT